GAGAGAGAGAGAGAGAGAGAGAGAGAGAGAGAGAGAGAGAGAGAGAGAGAGAGAGAGAGAGAGAGAGTGCAAAGCCAAGCAAAGTCAAGCCAAGGCATATTACAGAGCGAGGCACATGCTATGGTAACCGTGGGGAGTCAAATGGTTTTTCTTTTTTTTCTTTCCTTTCACTGAAACTGAAAAGAGAGGAAGCCGTGGGTCCTTCGATGTGGGAGCCCATATCAGGAATGTTCTATAACTGCTACATCACTGAAGTGACAGCAAATATATCCACCTTGTAGTTGGTGGAAGAAGAAGAAGAAGAAGAAGAAGAAGAAGAAGAAGAAGAAAGAAAGGTTTCAAAAATTCTCATCGCTACCGGATGCGCCATCCTTTCCTCGCGAGTATTTGCTTGACCTTTGCGGCAGCTTCAGCATTGTCGTTCAATGGAGGATAGCTCCATGCATCTCGCATCTGAGCAAACACACGCCACAACAGGGAAAAGCGCACACACATCACAATTTTCAGTGGTTTGATATTTGCGACTGTGGCATTGTGCCATGGGTTTTGCTTTCTTTTTTTTTTTTTTTTTTTGTTCGCACACTCGGTCTCGGTTTCATTCCTGTATGTTGAGATGACTGGGCTGGACTGCAGGCTGGCGTAATGTGTACGCTGTACGCGCACCGGGCAACGCCCCACCTCATCCGTGTTTGTGGCCAAAGGATCACTGTAAGGTAGGCGGCGAGGTCCTACTTTTCGGGCACCGGACATCCGGCCGGATTATATAAAAATCCAGAGCTGGATATTAGGGGCCAGATCCCACTGGCAAAGAGGATTTGAATAAGTGTGTGAATCTGGACGTGTTCCCCACAGAGATCCAGAAAAGCAGATCAATCACAGTTTTTTGCACCTGTCCTCGAACACGTCCAAATTCAGACACTTTGACCCGAGTACAATCATTTTTGCCATGGGATCTCATCATCTCGCCCTTAGACCCGATACAATCCCGCCATGCTTTTCGGAACCAGTTATCTGAGTGTTCCATTTCCGGATTAAAAAAAATCCAGAAAGTTTAATAATTATTATAATTTATCAAATAAAGGAAAAAAAGCTACGCGTCCTTCGGGACATCCGTTAAAATTGGAACGATACACAGAAGATTAGCATGGCCCTGGCCCCTGCGCAAGGATGACACGCATAAATCGAGAAATGGTCCAAATAAATAAAATAAAAAAAAGGAAAAAAAAGGAAAAAAAAAGGAAAAAAAGCTACGCTACCAGAGTGGCCCGGGACCACTTGCCTGGGGTTGGCCAGAAAAGAAAAAAGGGGTTCGATGTGACCCTGAGGCAAAAGTTGTTATCCAGTTTATATTTCTGGATAACATACATTTTGTGGGAACACTACAGTCTTCACCCGAATAGAACGCCCGGTCATTATAGATGTATCTGGACTGAAATTGCACCAGACATGGCTATAATGACCGGGCGTTCTGTTCGGGTGAAGACGGTAGGGTGCAGTCAAGGTTTTCACAGTTTTAAATGCGTTTCACTGGTTTCAGTCACGGTTTCGCAAATTTTGCTCCAAAGCGAGGGAGGAAAATCGTGAATGTATCAAACCCAGCTTTAGGGTTGGGTGGTGATGTGTTGTATTCGGGGGAGGGATGACTTAAGTGGACTTTCAACTGAAAACGTCACAGCGCCGCCGTAGTTACGCCTGCTTTTTTTTCCCGATTTTTTGGATCATTTTGACATTTTTTCCGTTTTTTTTTTTTTTTTTTTTTTTTGCTGGGACGTTCTTCCCTCCGCTCCTTGCACGCCCGGGCTCCCCGGGAAAACAAGGTCGGCCTGGGCGGCACGGCTGGTAGCCTAGAAGAAGAAAAAAAAAAGCCTTAAAAAAAAAAAGGTGTGCTGCACATGTCCAACCAATACTACACAATTAACCAGTCCATGTGGCTGTGTGTCAGCCTGAATGGTACACCCACAGTTTCATATTTTGTGCGCGCTCAGGTCACTGCCGGATCAGCCGGACGGAGCTAAGCACGAATCTGCAAAGAGAGCGCGTTCCTATTTTATTAAAGTACCTCGAGGTAAGCCTCTGCTCAAATAAATATTAAAATTATTAAATTAAATTCCCAATGAAATAATGGCACCCTGCTGTCTCACACGGAAAAAAAAAAGGCGATCTATAGGAGGTCTCGACTCTTGACCCCCGGCCCCCAGGGTCGTAAAATGGGTCGGGTCACCTGAAACAGTACTATATAGGAGGGGTCCTTGATCCTCAGTCACCTACCCGGATCGTATTTATTTCTTTCTTGTTATGTTTTCCTGGCTTCTTCCTTTTCCTTTTTTTTTCCTTTTCTCTATACCCTTAAAGCAAGCAAAGGGCCCAGCGTGACGCCCCCGCCGGGCCCAGCAGAAACCGGCGCGGAGGCGGTGGGTCCCAAACGGCGCGGCAGTGGAGGGGCGCGGGACAAGGAGGACTTGAGGCAGGGAAAATGCGGGCGGAGCCGGAGGCCGGCCTCGGGAAAGGGAAAAAGGGCCTGGCGCGGCGTTTCGCGGCGGCACCAGAGACCGCGGCGCGCGGAAACTGGCGGTGCTGGTTCGTGCAGGCCACAGGCGGCATCGCAAGAGGGGGGGG